GTTTTTTTTTTTTTTTGAATATTTTTGTTGTTTTATTCTAGTTTTTAGAAGGAAGGTGTGCTTATTGGGAAAAAGAAACCCACCAAATGCCAGCAAATGTATCGAGAGAAGCCAACACCTCCTACAATCTTGTCATCTAGAGATAACCACCATTAATATTCATGTCTAGTCTAGAATTTTGTTCTTGCGTGTACTATACCTACAAGTTTTAAATAAAAATGGGGTTATGCTATACGTGTTTCTGTAATCCACTCCGGCAAAGTACCATGGGTATCTTTCCATGTTAAACATGAAAATGGCGCTTATGATAACCGCACGGTGTGATGTCACCTGTCTATGCCGTAAGAAGACATTTTAATGATCGGCTCTCTGCCATAGTTTAGGCCTAGGACTTTGCTCTTTTTTCGTAAGGTTTCATAAAGGCCATCTCTCTCTATTTTCTTTCTGGCTGTGAATCTGACTAACAAATTACATCTTGACCAGTCAGTAGGGCGAAGACCAAGAAGATAGGGGAAAGGCAAAGTTGAGTTTTGTTTTTTTTTTTCAACGTTTATTTATTTTTGGGACAGAGAGAGACAGAGCATGAACGGGGGAGGGGCAGAGAGAGAGGGAGACACAGAATCGGAAACAGGCTCCAGGCTCTGAGCCATCAGCCCAGAGCCCGACGCGGGGCTCGAACTCCCGGACCGCGAGATCGTGACCTGGCTGAAGTCGGACGCTTAACCGACTGCGCCACCTAGGCGCCCCAAAAAGTTGAGTTTTTATGGATCGCGTGGTGATAAGTGTGCCCCTTAGAAGAGATGATGGCTGATTGAGCTCTAGGTATAACAAGTAATGAGGACAAAAATATCACAAATTCTCATCTTCAGGCATGACCACCTCCCTTTTGCTGAAATAATCCCACTTCACTCCGTGGGCCTGGAGTAATTATAGTGAGTGTCCCCTTTCACGATAAAATGTCTCAATTCAGACAATACATGGTTGGGTCACCTTGCTCATACTTTATCCATTGGCTGGTAATCTTATGATTGGAAAATTAATTTTTTTATATTAAAATTTTTAAAAAAAATTTTGCCTGAAAGGACTTTTTGGTATGGTATAAGGTAGGGGTCCCTTGTGCTACATTCCTTGTTGGAAGGCCCCGAACTTTCCATTATACCGTTGTTGTAGGTGACAGCCGTCGTACTAAGTGAGTTGCTGGAAGGGACACTAACTTTTCTTTCATGGATCATCCTTTCCACCCCCACCCCACCCCTCCGGTAACTCAGGTGGGACCGAAACAGAATCATTCACTACTCTGGGGGACATTTGGTAGCAGTGTCATCCAATCGGAAGATCCAGCTTCTAGATGTCATACAAGTAAAGGAGGTACCCATCGCGTTCCGAGGCCACGCCGGGAGTGTCCACGCCCTCTTCTTGTGTGAGAAGAAGAACTTTCTACTGAGCGGAAGTTATGACCTGAGTATTAGGTGAGTGGTCCAAGGGCGTTGTGGTGCCCACCCCACCCAACGCCTAAAGTCAGCTTGTGGAGGAAGCAGGCGTGCCTTTTCCTTTTTGTGTTTAGCGAAAAGGTACCCTAAATGATACCGACTTCTCAAATAACCCAAAACATTTTTTCTTTTTTTGGCAAGGTAAAAACCAATTAATTTGTATATCGTTTAAACTTTAACAAGATGAGATAGATTTATAACAATGATCAGATCTATTTTCTTTTTGAAAAAATGGTCATTTATTTATTTTGAGAGGGAGAGGAGGCGGGGAGAGAGAGAGAGAATTCGAAGCAGGCTCTGCAATTTCAGTGTGGAGCCTGATGCGGGGCTAGATTCCCCCAAACCATGAGATCATGACCTGAGCCGAAATCAAGAGTCGGATGCCTGACTGACTGAGCCACCCAGGTGCCCCAGAAATCCTTAACTTTAAGGTAGTCGACTTTGCAGATTTGACTCGTTTAATAAGAAATCCCTCCCTGTGATCTTTGTGTCTTCAATCCACTTGAACCTCATTTTTGTTATCATATGAGGTAGAGATCCAATTCCATTTTTTCCCCTTTCCTCTTTGCTTTTATATCTAATTACTTAAGTACCATTTATGGGAAAAAACTCCCATTGGTCTGTCCTGCTGCTTTGTCATAAGTGTCCACAGATTTCAATTTCTTGGCTCTTTACTCTGCTTCTTTTGCCTGTGTGGCTATTGTTGGTCAAAACCACACTATCTTAATTACTTTGGTCTTTAAAGTCTTTTTTTTTTAATTTTTAACGTTTTATTTATTTGTGAGAGACAGAGAGAGACAGAATGAGTGTGGGGGAGGAGCAGAGAGAGAGGGAGACACAGGATCCAAAGCAGGCTCCAGGCTCTGAGCTGTCGGCACAGAGCCTGATGTGGGGCTCGAACCCACGAACCAAAAGATCATGACCTGAGCCGAAGTTGCTCAACCGACTGAGCCACCCGGGTGCCCCTGTTCATGTCGTATTGTTATTATTGGTCTGTACAAGGCTCCATTCCTGTTTTATTCATCTATTTATTAATTCTCTTTTCTCTATTCTTCACTCCCGTTTCCTTCCCCATGGGCTACCTTCTCATCTTTGTCAGTGTGGATCTTTCTATTTATGTGAGTCCTTTGAAAATGTGTATTGGGGCGCCTGGGTGGCTCAGTCGGTTAAGCGTCCAACTTCGGCTCAGGTCATGATCTCGCGGTTCGTGGGTTCGAGCCCCTCGTCGGGCTCTGTGCTGACAGCTCAGAGCCTGGAGGCTGCTTCTGATTCTGTGTCTCCTTTTCTCTCTGCCCCTTCCCCGCTCATGCTCTGTCTCTCTCTGTCTCTCAAAATGAATAAACATTAAAAAAAAAAAAGAAAATGTATTTGGATATATTTTATACACATGTTTATAATTTTCATCCATGGTTTCTTTGATTTATCTATCTATCTATCTATCTATTTATCTATCTATCTATCTATCTATCTATCTATCTATCTATCTATCATCCATGGTATTATTTTAAGCTTATCTTGGCTTTTCACTTTTGTACCCCATCCTATGTTCCAAAGATTTATCCATTACTGTCTAGTTAGTTATGTAGTACTCCAATATACATTTCACCTACTTGCTTCCCCAGTGATGGAAACTAGCTGGCCTCCAAGTAAAGCTGCATGGAACATCTTTGTCCCCTCGTGGACATTGTGAGATTTCTGAGGTATATATATGCCCAGCAATGGACTTGCTGAGATATAGGGTAGGTGCTACCTAATTTGACCAAGTACTAGACTGAATTCAGAGTGACTTTATGGGTCTACATTCTCCCTAGGAGGGATCCTGTAACTGTATTTCCCTACCAACATTGGGCTTCAGCCAGCTTTCAAATTTTTGCCAGATGGGTATGTGTAAAATCATTTCCATTTGCATGACTTTGGCTACTAATAAGTTTGCCTCTTCTTTTAGAAATTGCCTGATTATATCTTTTGTCCATTTTTCTATTGGGGCTCCTCTAATTTGCTTCTTGATTTGCAGTTCTATGTGTTTTCTTCTAACTTTTAAAAAAAATATTTATTTTTGAGAGCGAGAGAGATAAAGAGAGAGACAGAGCATGAGCAGGGGAGGGGCAGAGAGAGAGGGAGACACAGAATCTGTAGCAGGCTCCAGGCTCCAAGCTGTCAGCACAGAGCCTGATGCGGGGCTCGAACTCACAAACCGTGAGATCATGACCTGAGCTGAAGTCGGACGCTCAACCGACTGAGCCACCCAGGTGCCCCTGTGTTTTCTTCTATATATTAGTCCCTTGTCAGTTTAAAAATTGCAAATACCATCTTCCATTTCTTCATCAACCCATTAACTTTGCTTATAGTGTTCTTTGTTGAATAAAAATTCTAATATTGCTGTAATACGACGTTATCCATTGTTTTGACTTGTGTCGGTGAGTCTGTCTAGTCCTAGGTCACAAAGACGTTTTAAAATATTTTGTCCTATTAACTTTATTTTTTAAATTTATTTTCCAAAGTTTATTTATTTATTTTAAGTAATCTCTACACTTAAGGTAGGGCTTGACCTCATGACCCTGAGATCAAGAGTCGTATGTTCTTCCGACTGAGCCAGCGAGGCGCCCCTTGTCCCATTAACTTTATAGTTTGACTTTTTGCATTCAGTTCTTTGAACCATTTGCAGCCCAACTTTGTATGTGATGTTGGGTAGAGTTTCCATTATATTTATTTATTTTGAAAGAAAGTGAGCAGTTTCCCCCACAGTGGTTATTTAGTCAGGAACCTGCCATTTTCTCCACTGACCTGTGGGGCCATCTTTATCATATGGTGATTTCCCCACATATAGATGAGAATGTCTCTGTGAGCTCTCTCTTGTAGACTCTTGGTTTGTTTTTCTGTTCTTGCATCAAAAACATCTTCTAAAAAAGACAATTCCTATAGAGTAGTTTTAGGTTCATAGCAAAGTTTGAGAGCAAAGTACTGAGATTTCCCATTACCTTGTGCTCCTCACATGCACAGCCTCCCCGGCCAGAGCGGGACATTTGTTACAACTGGCGAACCTCCATTGACACATCATAAGTCACCCCAAATCTGTAGTTTACTTTAAGTTTCACTCTTGGTGGTGTACATTTTATGAATTTGGGCAAATGCATAAAGACATGTATCCATCATCATGGTATCATATAGAATTATTTCCATTGCCCTGAAAATTCTTGGTGCTCTGCCTAGTCATTCTTCTCCTTTCCCCCCATACCTGTGACAGATGGGTAAGGCCACAGGACCTTTGGGAGTATTATATATATATTTTTTTGTTGTTGTTTTTATTTATTTTTGAGACAGGGAGAGACAGAGCATGAATAGGGGAGGGTCAGAGAGAGGGAGACACAGAATCTGAAACAGGCTCCAGGCTCTGAGCTGTCAGCACGGAGCCCGACGCGGGGCTCGAACTCATGGACCGCGAGATCATGACCTGAGCCGAAGTCGGCCGCTTAACCGACTGAGCCACCCAGGCGCCCCCCTTTGGGAGTATTAGAAGAAAAAGCTTAGCACATTCGAAGGAAAACAAAAGAAACACTTATTAATCGTTTATTATGTACCAAGTCTCATAAGAACTCTATGAGGCAACTACCATTATTAGCCTCAATTTGCAGATGAGGAAGCTGAGATACAGGGTGGTTATTAGCTCCTCTAAGATCATACCAGCTAGTAAGTAGGTGATGGACTGGATTGGACTTCAGGCAGCCTCACTCCAGAATCTACTACCTTAACATTACATTTTTGCCCTGTCATAAAAGCAATCCGGGTGAAATGCGAGTCTGTATCAGCGACAGTTGAGAGACCTCAGGCAAATTTGCTTATTAAAGAACAGTGTGACTCATACCTCTGTTCCCGTAGATCTCTAAGATATGCTTTAGAAGTTGTTTTGGATCCAAATGTCTGAAGTAGATTGTTCTGTTGTTCCTGTTTGAAGACCACCTCTGCTGTTGAATGGGTGCCATGGGTTTTAAGCCTGGTGGTCATTCCAGAAACCTCTTCCAATGTAATACCAACCAACATTTATTATGCATTTCCTACACGTTGATCGCTGTTCCAATGTTACACGAATCAATGCAGGATTTCTCAACTTGCGGCTGGAAAGTACCTTCTGTGGAGGCTGTCCCGTGCACTGGAGGACATTTAGCCGTACCCTTGGACCATAGCACCGGATACATTAGCAGCTCTCTCCCTACTTGTGACAGCCAAAAATGTCTCCAGACATTGTCAAATATCCTCTAGGGGTGGAAATCACGCCTGGGTGACCATCATCCAATTTGTATATTTAATTCTTTACCAAAAACCCTAAGAGGGAACTATTATTATTATCATTTCCGTTTCACCAATGAGGAAATGACACTTACACGGAAATTAGGTAACTTTCCCAAAGTTACACCTAACGGGTGCTGCCACTGGAAATCAAATCCAGGCCTCTGACTCTGACCTTAACCCTGAAACTTTGCCGCCTTCCAGAAAACTGTTGATCTAAGGGAACTTGTGTGCCATATGATCCCTTGGGCCCTGAGAAAAATCTCAAAAGCATTTCTTGTTTTTTGTTTTTGGCCTGATTCCTGCAGATACTGGGATCTGAAAAGTGGGGCTTGTATAAGAATCTTCAATGGCCATCAGGGGACAGTCACTTGCATGGATTTATATATGAACAAACTTGTATCCGGAGCAAGAGATTGCCAGGTGAAAGGTGAGACAGAAATGCCTTAAACTTTCTAAGAAGCTTCCCCAAATCCATGGGTTGTCAAAATACTTGTTTAGCTCATTTATGTAGGAAGACATTCTTTTACTCATCCATCCATCCATCCATCCATCCATCCATTTACTTCACAACTATTTGTGGAATACCTACAATATGCTAGACGCTGTGCTAAGTGCTAAAAAAAATGAATATGACCCTGTTCAATATGGCTTTTTATTTCCCCAAGAGGCTCATAATCTCATAATGCAGACAGATACATAAATATACAATGGAGGAGATCATAAATATGTGAATAGTAACTGCCACCATTTATTGAGTACCAAGTTCATGACTGACATTGGTGCTTTACATATATTATCGTATTCAACCCTCACAAGAAGCCTGTGGCATGGATGCAGATGAGGAATCCAAAACTCGGAGAAAAAACCAGCTTGCCCCAGATCAGAGCCGCTGAGTGGTGGAGTGGGGATTTGAACCCAGGGCTGTCTGACTCTAGATCACGCGCTCCTAACCAACACGCGGAGTTCTAAGGGACCACAGAAATAAGAGTGAGGGAAAGCGCCACAGACAGGGTGCTGTTTGAGTGTGGTCTTGATGATGCGTCGTTCTACAAGCGGTGGAAGAATGAATGCCGTTCTAAGCAGAAGGGACAGCACAGGCAAATTTGCAGAAGGTTGAAGAAAATGGTGTATTTGGGGAATTTCCCCTTGCTGGGTACGGCTGCAGTAGAGCGTGTGGTGTCAGACAGAAGGCTGGTTACTTTGTTTGGGGCCAGATTATCAAGGGCCTTCTGCATCCGGGTAGGAAGTTGACCTTCATCCTATAGAATGCAGGAGGCTATAAATGCACTCTGAGCTGTGGACTGACATGATCAGATGTGTTTCTGAGAAAGATGACTCTAGTCATTGTGTGGAAGAAGGTTGGAGGGAAGGGACTGTGTGGAGATGGGGACAAGTGAAGACAGTACCCAGTCTGGAGAACTGCGGTGGTATCTTCAGAATAGCCAAGAACAGGGGGCGCCTGGGTGGCTCAGTTGGTTAAGCATCCGACTTCGGCTCAGGTCACGATCTCACCGTCCATGAGTTTGAGCCCCGCGTCAGGCTCTGTGCTGACTGCTCAGAGCCCAGAGCCTGTTTCAGATTCTGTGTCTCCCTCTCTCTCTGACCCTCCCCCGTTCATGCTCTGTCTCTCTCTGTCTCAAAAATAAATAAACGTTAAAAAAAAAATTTAAAAAAGAATAGCCAAGAACAGGCAAGTGTGAAGAAAGTCAGGTGGCTATGAGTTTACATGAGGTGACAGGAGGGCAGATAATGAGGCCGGACTTTTAAACTCAGGTCACTGGGTATTTGGAAGTGCCATTAACGGCAATAAGGACCACAGGGGAAGAATATGGTAGGGTGAGGAACGAAGGGGGAGATGCTGGCTTCAGTTTTGGACCTCTTGAGTGTGGTAGGCAGAATAATGGCCAACCGAACACGTTCACCTCCTAATCCCCGGAAACCGTGACCGTGTCACCTTGCACGGCAAAAGGGACTTTGCCGATGTGATTAAGCTGAGGACCCGAAAAGGGAGAGACTGCCCTGGGTTATCAGTGTGGGCCCATGGGTAATCACATGGGTCCTTAAAAACAGAAACTGTCTTGTCCGTGATCAAAAGGAGATGCGACAATGAGGAGTGCTCAGACACCTGCGACGTTGCTGGCTCTGAAGATGGAGAAAGGGGGTCATGAGCCAAGGGATATGGGTGGCCCTGGGAAGGTGGAACAGGCAAGGATACGGATCCCTCCAGCCCCAGAATCTCCATAAGGGAACACAGCTCTGCGGACACCTTGATTTTTTAGCCTTGTGAGGTCACATCAGGCTTCCGTCAGATAGTACATTTGTGTTGCGTTCAGCCACTAACCTTGCGGGAATTTGTTACAGCAGCGATAGAAAGCTAACACACTGGGTACGGGAGTCCCAAGGACACCCAGGTGAGGACTGCAGGAGGCAGACGCACGTGTGAGTTGCCACGTGAGTTGACTGCACCATAGGTCTGGGGCTCCAGCTGCATTGGTTTGGTGGTTACCAATCGGAACGAACGGCGGAGACGCCAGGCGTGGAGCTTTCCCCTGCAAAGCACGAGGAAAGAACGCAAAGCGAAGGGAGGCGAGGGACCCAGGAAGTCACAGCCTCCTGGCCTACCTGTTCCCCCTGGGTTTCCCCCGATGAATCTTTTCCCAACGATTCCCAATGAATCTTTTAATTCATCCTTCAGCCTTCTCCCCCCCCCCTTTTTTTTAAAAGAATTTATTTTTAAGCAATCTCTACCCCCGACGTGGGGCTCGAACTCACAACCCCGAGGTCAAGAGTCACACCCTGTATTGACTGAGCCAGCCGGGAGCCCATCAACTTTGTGCTTTCTAATTGGATAAGAGGCCAACGTATATGGAAAAAACAAGTGAAGAAAAGCGTACTTACAGAAGTTAGGGTTGATCTAGCGTATGTGGTTACGAGCATGGGTTCTGGGGCCAGGCTCTAAGGGTCCAAATCCCAGCTCTATCTGCTTGCCATCTGCGTGATCTTGAGCAGGTTACTGAACCCCTCTATGCCTCAGTTTCCTCATCTGTGTAGTGGGGAATAAAGACAGTAGCTGTCTCGCGAAGACGAGTTAATATACACCAAGCACTTCCAATGGGGCCTGGCTCGTCGTTAGTGCTCTATGGAGGTATCAGCTGCGGTCATTACTTGGTCTTAGGTTGCGGTCATTACTTGGTCTTAGGTCGTACACTCTGTTGCCTGAGAGGTACTTTGGGGCTGATGGGGCCAACTTTAACGGTCTCATTCCCGAATCTGTGGTGCCTGCTTCCAGTTTCTTCCTTTAAGGTCTATTCTCCCACCTGCTCATCTATTTTGACACCTTCCCAACACTCGCAGGATGGTGGGTGGTAAAAACGTGAAGCCTGCCCCCAGCTGTGGCCGTCTCTCAAGTAGTAAAATCCAGAAGTCAGATTCAGAAATTGGTTTTTTAAAAGGAATAAACAAACATTAAAATGGTTTCAATGTTGATTTATTTTTGAGGGGTGGGGGAGGGGCAGAGAGAGAGAGAGAGAGAGAGAGAGAAACAGAATCCGAAGCAGGCTCCAGGCTCTGAGATGTCAGCGCAGAGCCCGACGCGGGGCTCGAACTCACGAGCTGTGAGATCGTGACCTCAGCCGAAGTCAGGTGCCTAACCGACGGAGCCCCCCAGGCACCCCCAGAAATATGGTTAAATGTAAATAAGGATAGACAACTTGCTTTTCCTTTGGACATAGATGGGGTGAGTCAGGCGAATAGTATCTGGAAGGAATAATGCCATGAAACACGTGCTGTGATTTTCCTGAAATCCACTCAATAGCAAGTATTTTTCAGGCTCAAGAAGGAGGCTTATTAGTGAAATAAGTCATACAGAGAAAGACAGATACCATATGTTTTCACGCTTATGTGGATCCTGAGAAACTTAACAGAAGACCATGGGGGGAGGGAACAAAAAGTTAAATAGAGGGGAAGGAGGCAAACCATGAGAGAGACTCTAAAAACTGAGAATAAACGGAAGGATCGGGGTGGGGGGGGGGGCGCATGTGGGCACTGAGGTGAGGCACCTGACATGGGGCACGGGGAGTGGTATGGAAACCAATGTGACAATAAATTTCATATTAAAACCAACAAATAAATAAAAAAAAGAAGGAGGCTTATTAGAGATGAGCTGTCTAGCGCTTGGACCCCAAGGCTGAGTTGTAGGGTTAGAGCCAAGGTCTCATGCTGCTGCTCTCCCCCAGGGACCCACGGGCAGGGAGTTCTGTGCTGCAGGCTCCTGGAGCTGTTGGTGAGCCTGTAGGGGTGCTGGGCCAGGCGGAGGCCTTCTAGGTCTCCTGATGGGCTGGTGGAGCCAAAGCTGGGCTGTAGAACTCCAACTCCTGCCTCATGCCTCCCCACCTCCCTTTCAGTGAGGGGATGTCGAGACAGGGAAGTGCCTGAAGACGCTCAAACACAAAGACCCCATCTGGGCCGCCAGGATCAATGACAACTACACGGAAGGGAGAGCGGGATAGCTCAAAGTGTGGGCACACCGTCACCAGCTATAAAGCAGGAGAGAGCAGTGGGCTGGCGGGCTACGGGAGGGGGTACCGATGGTCATGGATGGGAGGAGACTCACGGTGTCCCCCATAGAGCTCTTCAGACCATCTTAAAGCTATCATGTTAGAGTCACCCAAAGGGTGGTCCTGAAGAATTTTAGGGGAAACTCCCCTCCCACTGCCCCCCCACCCCACCCCAAAAGAGGGCCATTCTGAGACTGTGGAGGGTCAGGGATCATGTGACTTACGTTGGCATGCAAGTGGTGGTAGCAGGCTACGTTCTGACTCAGTATGATATACGGGCTCAGGGTCTTTTGACAGTGGCTTTTCCTTTTCCAGAACATTCTACCCCGACTCTTGCATGGGGTAAGGACATGAACAAAGTCACAGTAGTTTTTCTCCTTACTCTCTGGTGAAAAGAGAACAGTGGCTGCTCTTGAAAGCGACTGAATGCTCACACGCACCCAAAGTGTTGCTAGAGTTGAAACCTCCTGGCTCTAGTGGGCGGTTCTGAGAGACATTTGTGCCGGGAACACCGGAGCGCAGCGAGAAGCTGCTGGGCCGGCTGGTGCATTTTCTTCCCTTCAGTATTGTTGTCACCATGGTCTAACCGGCAGTAGCAGGCACGGGGAGGCCCCAAGTGTCCTGTGGTCCTGGCAGGGACCTGGGGTTGGAACACACCTGACCCTTTCCCTTGTGGCAGAAGACGATGGTGAATTCTGGCCCTCTCTCGGACTCCAGGAAGAGGAGGCCTGCCCCAGCCACAGAGCCGTCAGGAGCAAGGCTCTCCTTAATCATTCCTTCACTGGGGAGAGAGCTCTGGAGAGAGGGAGGCATGGACACCACTGGCTTTTTCCGAACAAAAGCAAAGAATGGCGGAGCGTGTTGGGATTCATCCAAAGAAGCCTCCAGCTTTGGCCCTTGGAGGACTCACAGTCTGAGTGGCAGATGGGCTGAAAACCGAGGCATCTTCTCTTGCAGACTCTCATTGGCCACGAGGGAGCCGTGAAGTGTCTGTGCTTTGACCCGTGGCATCTCGTCTCAGGAGGTGCAGATGGCCTGGTCATGGCCTGGAGCATGGTGGGAAAGTACGAGCCGTGCCTCATGGCCTTCAAGCATCCGAAGTAGGTGCCAGGAAAGCCCTGGTTGATGGATGTGGGACTCTCTCCTTTTCCCTCACAGCCCAGATTTTGTAATAACGGCACTAGATGTGGGTTTCGAGAAGTTATCGAAATGTTAGGCTCATGACACATGTGACACATTTATATCTGTTATCAGACGACATTAGGCACGTTCAGGGTGGAATGGCCACATGCTTACATATGTTTATGAACATTTGCAGAGCCATCCCAAATAATGCCAATGCCAGTAAACTGAAAATTCTTGGGGTTGGTCTTCACCCCAGGCCTCTACTTAAAATCATCCAAGTGCCAAAGATTTAAAAATAACCAAGGGGTTAAAGAAGGAGCTTTCTTACAAGTCTGCCGGCTACATTCTATTCCAGGACAGCAAACGTCTCATTTTACAATTCCAATCCCAGTTTAGTGGTGGTGGCTGCTTGGAGCCAGTGGAGAAGTAGTCTGAGGTCACATTTGAGCTTGTTTGGAAAGGATCTTTTTTTTTTTTTTTTTTTTTTAAATTTTTTTTTTTTTCAACGTTTATTTATTTTTGGGACAGAGACAGAGCATGAACGGGGGAGGGGCAGAGAGAGAGAGGGAGACACAGAATCAGAAACAGGCTCCAGGCTCTGAGCCATCAGCCATCAGCCCAGAGCCTGACGCGGGGCTCGAACTCCCGGACCGCGAGATCGTGACCTGGTTGAAGTCGGATGCTTAACCGACTGCGCCACCCAGGCGCCCCTGGTTTGGAAAGGATCTTGTGGTCAGTTAACGGTTCTGCCACGGCCACGGGTTTTTATAGGCTGTGCGACGTCACTCTTGTACCGCGTGAACAATGCTTCTTCCCCTGCGTGCGTTATAAAAAACTCTAGGGAAACAAGATGCTACCCTAGTTGACTCAAAGAGTGAATGGATCTTCTAGGGGACCTATCACCAAGAGTCATTTGGTAAAATATGGCCCTAGATTTCCTCGTGTCTTCGTAGGAACCTCTTGAGCCGGCACGCTGGCCTTGTGGGAAGTGGAAGGGGATTTGAGTTACGTGTGTGTGTTTACTCTTTGTGGTGTGTGACCGCGTTATTGGTGAGTGGGTGCTGGGAAGGGCTTCTGTCCAGTGATTTATCTGGGGTTATCAGTAAGCCTCTTAGCATGTTGTCTGGATTATCAAAACTTACGAAAGGAAAGAGTCAAGCTTTAGGATGTCGCCTGAAAATTGTAATTATATGTTTTTATTTTATTTATTTATTAAATGTTTATTTATTTATTTTGAGAGAGCGCGCATGAGCACAAGAAGGGGAGGAGCAGAGAGAGAGGGAGACACAGAATCCGAACCAGGCTCCAGGCTCTGAGCTGTCAGCACAGAGTCCAATGCGGGGCTCCGACCCATGAACCGCGAGATCATGACCTGAGCCCAAGTCAGAAGCTTAACCGACTAAGCCACCCAAGTGCCTCTTATTTTCACTTTTAGATGGGGCGACCAGTTGATCGACTGATCTATCCATCACAGGAGCCACATTGACCTCTTTGCTGTCCTTTGAACGTGCTAAGCATGCTGTAGCTTTCAAGGTCTTTGTTGTTTCTGTTTTGCTAGTGGTTGGGGCCTTGAAATGTCTTAATCTGACCCGCGGATCTGACCAGGGCTAAGGCCGAATGGTATGGGGTGAATGTCATTCTGTTAACACATTATATCAATAATCATACTCCAAAACCTGAGCTGACACTCACCTTTTCATCAGATATTTATTGAGGACCTTCTATGAGCTGGGCCTTGTGTTAGGTGCTGGGCATGCAAAGATGAGTAAGAGACAGGTTGTGAGAATTTAACAGTGTACCTGAGGTTTGTGTATGTGTGTGCGAGGGGAGGGGAGATGATGGAGATAAAGGGTGGTTTTGTGGAGAAGGTAGCACATGAGCAAGGCCATAGACAGACCTGGATGGGCACAGATGGCAGGGATCCATGGACTTGGTAGACACATAAGATCTAACAAATTGGTGGCATCAGATTCCACTTAAAGAAAAATTTTAAGTTTATTTATTTTGAGCGAGAGCGCACGAGCTTGAGCAGGGGAGGGGTAAAGAGAGGGGGAGAGAAATAATCCCAAGCAGGCTCCGAGTTGTTGGCACGGAGCCGGGTGCGGGGCTTGGACCCGTGAACCACGAGATCAGGACCTGAACCAAAGTCGGATGCTTAACCGATTGAGCCACCCCGGCGCTCCCGAATTCAACTTTTTAGTATCATTAACAGGAATGGGGTAATTACATTTTGTAGCTGAATACTCCACACATCTGGAGGCCCGCTTGGCTGCAGCCGTTGTGGGAAGGTTTTGTGGGAAGGTTTTGTGGGAAGCATCTACGTCACCTGGCCCTCTCTCTTCTGCTGGTCACCACCAAAGGGAGTTCACACATTTCGTCCCTGGGTAAAACTTTCCTTCGGGAAGTTTCACTGGAAGAATGCAAGCCGCTCATTTAAGATCCCAAAGGAACTGTTTAAACACTGGGTTTTTGCTTCCTATAAAGATCATTTCCCCATGCGTGGATTTCTTTCTTCACTGATGCTAGGGACGCCTGGCTGGCTCCATTGGTGGAGCGTGACTCCTGATCTCGGGGTTGTCGGTTCGAGCCCCGTGTTGGGTGTAGAGATCACTGAAAAATATCTAGTGATACTATCTGAAAAGGCATCAAAACAGTAAGTTCTCAGCATGACTTTTTCAGAAGTCATTAGCTAGGAACCAAATTGTAAGAGGAAAGCGTGATCACCTCTGGATCAGA